ACTACATTATTGTTTCCATCGTTGTTGGGTGGGCCGTCGTCGTCGTCATCATCCCAGTAATCGTTAGCTTCTATACAAAAATTATGAAGAACAATGCATGCAATAGTAATCTTGATGGCAAAATTGAGGGAGCTGTCTAGGCGTTTTTGTAGCACTCTCCAACGTCCCTTTAAAATTCCAAAGGCACGCTCTACAACAACTCTTGCCCTGCTTAGCTCTTTGTTGAAGGTTTTTTCATCGGGATCATTTGTTCCCTCTGGAAATGGCTTTATGAGCCAGGGTGTTGGCGGATAAGCACCATCTCCAACTAGGTATGGACCTATATCATTCCCATCAATATCTTGTCGGAAATCGTGTGTTTACGTAATCAAAACATTTTAATGCGTATAGAATTGTTTAGTTGACCGGAAAGGGATACGCATTGAATCTGTCATCGCTAGTAACTTAAGCCAATCAAAGAACACATTGTACAATTTGCTGTATCCTTTGTTCTAGAAATCGAAGAGTGTGTTGTAATCGTAATCGGGACATCGTGAGACACAAATATATCTGTTTAAAATTCTATCGTGAGTGAGTGATTCTAGCGCGAGTTTATCGGGAAAAACATTGTGAACAAAAATTGGACGTATTCAAATAGTCCCAAATTTGTCACAAAAAACGTCCAACACTCATGCATTATGACTGAAACTTACAGTTATGAAAACAGCTTTGGACCTCTAAGGTCCTCTATTTGGAACAACTTGTACACTATAAAAGCACATTTTAAACAAGTTTGAATTTTTGAACATGATATTTTTTTTAAGCAATTTTCTCATACTTCTAAATAGAAAACACCATCACTGGGGATGACTTCCTTGAAATGGATGAGCGTGACTTTAAGGAGGTATTTCCACGATTTTATAATTGTGTAAGTCACTAGTCTTTTTGTTATTAACACTGTAGGTTACCCTAGACCAGTGGTTATGGAGACTAATGTATTCATAGAAAGAATTCTGCGAGTGAATATATGAAAGATCATTTTGTTCATAGGGTTCACAGTATAGGTTTTTGATTGGTTGGCCAGGATATATAACAGGTAGCTGCACACAGGCATTCTCAATAACTTCTGTAGCAAGTGGCTCCTGTTGTTGGAATATGGGGCTGTGCTTAACTAGAGGGCATCCAGCCCCTTTCTTAAGGGGGAAGGAGGGGTCTGGTTGAAAAATTTTGAAATCTGTAAGGTTGGAAATACTAATTGTAGCATTCTGGGCACATCAAATTAAGTGCTGTTCATACACATTTTATTGCTCACAGAAACCAGTATTCTGATTTTTTTTCATTCTTTCATAAGTGGTCTAATATTGTGTGCCAAATAAGATAACTAGAGAAATATATTTTCTAACATTGTATAGCTAATAAATAAGTGTTACATTTAAATGCACTCTTGTAGTATCAACAACATAACTGTACTTAAATTTAACTTTCTCACACAGCTGAATGGCTCCGTGTCAGATCCCCTGACTCCTGGCTTTACTAAAGTGCCCAAGCCATCAACATCTCAGAGTGATTCATTCACTGATGATGATGAATCAGAACTTTCGTTCCAATCAACCTTGACACTAAACTCCTCTTCATCTGGTGATGCTTCTGATGTCTTCTGTTCCTCTCAAAATAAGAGAACATCGACTCCAATTCCCCCAAAAGTGTCATGTGCACCAGTTTCAGTGCAAGGTAAGACAAGCCCTGATCTGCCTTCTGGCTTCATTATTCCCTCTAAGTTTGGGAAAATTACAGATGGAAATCTGAAGAGTGGAAACCTAACTGATGTGGACAGAGCGAAAGTTATAAAAACTGTGGCAACTTGTGTATGGGTGCACACAGACTCCCCATCCCCAGGATGTTTTGAATGGTTGGCCAAACAGTTGATCTCAAAATACCCTACACTTGCTGATGCTGACCCCCGCAAGATGCTGCAGACTGTACCTACAGCGCCAAAGGAAGACTTCAAGTATTGGGTAAGATTTTTGATGTCTTGCAAACTGATGTTGTATGTTGCCTTAGCAATTTAATAGAGGAGTTGTGACGTGTCATTTTCTTACCTTCTTGACCTAGCTGATAGTGTATAACCCTTAAAGATCCAGTCTTGGCCAGGATGCATTGGATGCGCATTAGAAAACAATAGAAACCTTGCTATCAAGTAAACCAAAACAATAACAGATGCACAAAAAGCATAATCGTCAATACTGGGTCTTTAAAGCCCAGCTATCACCATACACATTTTCCATACAGAATGCTATTATGACAGTTATGAGAATTTGGTGTGAAATCAAGACAAGCATTTTTTTCCTGTTGATTTGCCTTATCACTTGTTTGCTTGACATTCTAATTGGATTCATCTGGAAGGAGAACATAAATATTGATCGCTTAGGACTTAAAAGGGTTATAATAATCATTATTATATGGGTGGCTCTGTGAGCGGGCAAGATGAACCAAATCCCGTGCTGTGATTGGCTACCCGAGCGGGCAAGATGGAGCGATCTTGCCCGCTCGGGATTGCGCGCTTTGTCCCGCAAGAAAATTTCTCACTTTTTGGTGTCTTATCCCATATAATAAATCCTTTAA